TGGTGCCCAGGCTTGATTCTGCGAGCATAACCCCCCTGGATCAAGGCCATGACAACACCAATGAAGAAGAACATCTTTCCCTGCTGCATACTAGTGAGAGAAAAATGCTGTTCAGGTGTGTTTAGTATAACTGATAGAGTACCCAACTTTATCTTTGAGTTCATACCTTGTGAAGTGGAAGCGTTGGTGAGTCAGAAAACTCAGCGTGAACTCCAGACCAGAGAACAGAAAGAGGTAGCAGAAATAAACCAGGCCCAATAATTGAAGATTCTTCATTCCTGTAAAGACATTTACAGGATCAATACCTAACTGGATCAAACGGGTGTTGGCTTCTGCCTCGCAGTGGAATCCAGCATGTGCAATACTCACTTTTATTTGAAGGTGGATCTTTTGCCCTGGTAACAGCGGAAAAATGGAACAAAGACACTGGGTTCAAAAGATCCCCGGAGTCCCCAAACCCTGAAGATGAAGCCTAGGAGGAAATAAGAAAAGTTATCTGTCAGCTGTTCACTGTATGAAAACCATAATCATGATGACTCAGCTGATTTTAAATATACATATACACCTATACATACCTTCAGATATACCATATGTACACATGTATATGGGGGCTGATGATGTTTTAACTATTCATCATTGTGTTTAATGATGGATGTACTCTCACTTGCTGTGCATCGTATTTTATATGACCTTGTGTGTTGGGATTTTAGCATATGTTTTACATATTTGTATTATATGTGTTAAAGCCCCTACACGCCCATAGTCTACCCACAAAAGCATTTTCTTGCTGAGAATTAGATAAGAACATTGATATTCACGCCATATTTGTCTAGAAAATGTGAGCCAGCTGGTCACCCTATAGTTTAGCAATAAGACTGGAAACAGGGGGAAGCAGTTAGCCTGGCTCAATTGTGGTTTCACAGGGGTCATGTGTCAGAGCAGTAACTTCCTGGAGTCTTGTCAGGAAGTTACTGCAAGAAACTGTCCGGCACGTCAACCCTCAACAAGTTCTATGGCCCCTTTAAGTAAAACTGTATGTGATTCAGTTTGTCAGGTGGCAGTGTGAATGTTAACATAGCCGACCTTGACATCCTTCGGGAGCGTCTCTGGCAGCATGAGCCAAATGAAGAGCAGATCAGCAACACTGAAGGCCAAGGCGAGCAGAGCTGGAGTCTGGTAGAAGACATCTCCTGCTCTGGCGCTGACGGCAAAGTACGCACCCATCAGAGGTCCAATGGTGAAGCCCAAGGAGAAGGCGATGCCGATCATAGCCTGGTGATGAAGTTCTTTTTACATTATCCTGAAAGTCTCATCAGGTGTGACTTACAGTTACAAAGGCATTAACTGGCTGATCAGCAACATTATGCACAAAAAAGAAATGTGAGGGTCAGAGCCCTGATACAAGATTCTAATTAATATTACTAAAGCAATCCCTGAAGAAAAGAAGGGACAGACTGATTTCACATACAAACCTCTGGCAAAAGACGGAGCATGCATCCAATCACAGTGTGGTGTTTTTAGACGTCACATTTTAACTTCACATTTTCCGTCATGGCTCATTAAAAGTCTGTGCCTACCATTCCTCGGTTCCGTGCTTTCGGGCAAGGCAAGTCGGCCACAATGGCAGTGCAGAGGCTGACGTTGCCTTTACAAATGCCCCCAATTACTCGAAACAAAAGGAACATGCTGAAGCTCCGGGAAACGGCCCAGACCGCATAGGAGGACATCAGCCCTAACTGGAACATAAGGCACCCAATTAGACCCGAATGCATGATGACCTGGTGATAAGGCTGCATGGTTTCTTACACAAGTGGAGTATGAACAAGTATCTGACTCACTGTTTAACGTCAATAATGATATTATTGCACTGTTGCTCTTTTTTATATGACTTCAAACGACTTTCATATTGAAAAGTCTTTTAAAAAGCGGTGTAATATGGCTTTTATACTCACTGTGGTAAGAATGAGTAAGGGTCGTCTGCCATGGTGGTCTGACAGAGCCCCGGTTATAGGCGACGACAGGAACTGCAGCAGAGAAAACAGCGACCCGATCAGACCTAAAATGCAGATTGAGGAGCAGGAAAATGAATGCAGTTTCTTTATATATGTTTAATTAATCACCGTAAACAAGGTAGATCAGTCAAGCCAAGATACCTCCAAACAGGACACTGTTGTATTTCTTTTCCATAGGGATCCCCACGACCTCCCTGAACCAGTCCACAACACTCTGCAGAGACTGATATACGACATCCTGACCAACAAGGAAAAAGTGCAGAAAATACATCATCACACAGGGGCAATACAAACACCGGTAAAGAGGTCAATTCAGCATGAGTCAGCAGGCAGACACAGCCCATTACTAATCTGAACACTCATGAGTTGGTTTTTTTGAAGCAGACTCTTTGCACAAAGCCCCCTTTGTTCAACAGGTATGACAGACAATGTGCATCAAATTCTGCTCATTCACTCATATTTTCTGAACCACTCTGGTGGTTCAAACTGATGAAAATATAGTCACAAGTGATAATTAGTCATATAACTCATATGAGGAAATAAGGTTGGTTGAATCATCTTTTATATGTCTAATTAAAACACTTTGAGTTTTTTTAAAACTTGATTTTACCAGAGCTGTCTATTTATTTTATGCTACTTTGTAGATTTTAACATTTTATCCTGGTCCAGTTAATATATTTTATTACTGCTATGTTTTCCACTTGCTTTTATTATTATTGTTGTTTCTTTTATCTGATGCCTTGTGTGACACACTTTGTAACCTGGTTTTTGAAATGTGCTTGCTCTACAAAATAAAGATCACTACTATATCACTTTTATGTATTATAACTTTTTGGAACAACTATAAGAAGAAAAAAAACGAACCCCTGTTTGTGCATAATGGTCCAAAATTGAAGGCAGTAGAGGTAGAATCAGTGTAAATCCCAGCAGGTCTAGCAGCAGGGTGATGAACACAATGTTGATGACCTTTGAAGAGAAGGCGCTGCCATCTTCTGGAGATTTGTTTACGGCTGACATTCCTCCAACTGAATACAGTGTGTCTTCTCTTCCTGCTCGTAAGTAAAAGACATACAGTGTTTTACTGTTAGGACAGCAACACAGCTATGAAAACAATTATGATTTATAATCTCAAGGACAAGGAAGAAATAAACCCTTGGGGAAGTACCTGCAAATGTTTACCGTACCACATCTTAATTTTACAGGTCTGTAATTTCCCAATAATGTGAAGGTTTTCCTGGAAAGAAATATGTTATTTGTACCTAATTATAGGGCGTTTAAGGTCAAAATTCAGTCAGATATTAGAGCTTTTATTTGAACGCTTCCTTGAATTCCCTTAAAAGACCTGCTCTGTTTAAACCCCATTAAATATTCCATGCATTATTAATATATTATTGGAAACTTCATTCTCCATATATTTTTAATTGTTGTGGTCTGCTGTGCACTGTAGGTCATAAACTAATAATTTACTGGAATTAACTGGGAATAAATCAACTGAACACCGTCTCAATTTTCTCAGTAGTGCCACATGATAAAATTCTTTCCAGGAAACTTCCTATGAATATACAGTTACGTGTCAGTTAGTTTCTAGAAATTATAGGGTACCCTGGGAACTGTAACATAAAGCATTAATAAATTCAGTAAGATAGTAATCTGCATATTAACGGGTATATCTTCCTACAAACATGGTGAGAAGTTTAATTCAACAGGCTACTCAGTTAGTTGAGATTATACTTATTTGCCACTATGGCCATCCATGCTACATATGTGCAGGCAAGTTAGTATGGCAAGGTGACTCTTAAGGAGGGAAGCATCCACCACATGCCAAATGCAAACAAATAAATGATTACAAAAGGAGATTATTGTAGGGCCTATAGTATGGCAGTAGAGTTGCAATCAACTACAGTCTCCACTCACTGCTTCTGAGTCAAGGGAAGAAAAAAGGTGTAACTCAAGGAAGGAGGAAACCACTAATGTAAATGCTTGGATCAAAGTTCATCCAAGTCTGTATGAACTGACATGCAAAGATATTGTAACTGTATTCCTTTTCAAACTGTAAGTCTTGCTCTAATAAAAACACACTTTCTACAGGTAGTTTCATGGTCCACAGATTGTAATATCGATCCAGTACATCCAGTGAGGCTGACCAGGATTTATTACCATCACCTCTTCTCGGACACAACTACTATTTCAACCCGCTTCCCTCCTCACAGTATTTCCGCAGACTCGTAAATCAGAACAGCTTACACCGAAGACTTACCCGTCTAGAGCTGTTCTACCTTCTCTCTCTCATCAGTCCATTATTATTAGTCCACACCAGGAAGAGGTGTCCTCTTACATTTGGATGACAAAAATGTGTCGTAACAGCACACAGACGAGCATGCTGCCTTCAGGTGACTCTCGTAAACTCGTATTTCCGTGTTCCACACAGGGGAATTATCATAGGCACTAGTTCAGGGTTTGTTGTTGGCCCCATCTGTGACTTCGGCTTTTTGTCCGTTGCTCGGTTATTTGTTATCCAGCAACTGGTTGTATCTTCAAATATATGCATGTGATCCCACAGATGTCTACTAAAATGTCAAGAATGACTAACGTTAAGTTATCCGGGGCGAAACCAATGTGTAGATTCAACGCCGATGCAGTCTCTGGTAATATTACATGTTGGTTTCGCCTCGCCCAAGCATTTAAACGTTTCTGCCAGAGAGTAGACCACTGCCTGATCATGAAAATACCGCCATGAAGATACAAACTAATTCTGGAGATGGGTAAAAGGTAAAAATATGTATTTTTTCCCCACTAACGTTGGCACGTCGGTGCAGGTAATGCCAAATCAATGATAGCTGTCTGAGTTCACATTGTCGGACATTCACGTTGCCATATTATAGTAGTGATAACTTCATCAACTTTGTAATACAAGTTGCGTTCGTCTCTATGGTTTGTCATCGTGCATTTTCACAGTTTGAAATACAGTAACACAGGAAAAGACACGTGTATGGCAATGACCTAAAACAGTTTATTTACTTCCTTTACTAAAGTAAATTGTACCATACAACAAAAAAGTTAAAAAGTAAATAGAACTTTAATACTTAAATGGAAAATCAACCTAAATACTGTTTCTGAACGTATTTACTTTTTCCACTGGCATGGTACAACTTATATTCACATGTCCAACAGAAGCTGAAGGCAGCACAAGCATGTCCACAATCAGTGATATCAAGGTGGGTCCAGGTCTTGGTATGTTCAGTGCCAGTTTGTTTAACAACTGTTTACAGTGTAAGAATTGTTGCATGTTTTACAGTAATAACCTTTTATATCTCCCTTCACATAATCTGCAGAAATAAAAATGCAAATCTTTGCAACATAGTTATTCATTAGTGTCTTTAAACAAATGTAAATTAAATCTTAATGTCAATGTGTCTCACATTATACACTCACCGAGGCATAACAGCTATTCCATAAAAATATTTAATTAGAAAAGGTTTAAAATCTACAAAACATTGAAATTTATTTGGAAATCAGGTTGTTCAGAAAAACACAGTACAGTAAGAAAGTGGAGGACGGTTCATGAAAACAAAATCTAGCTTCCCATACAGAAATCAACAGTGGAAGCCCTCGCTAGTGTCCACAACAAAGAAAAAAACATTATATTCCGTGTCGCATGGCGTGACGCTCCAGTTCAGAGCTGTTCATGAGGTTTCGTCCACAAAACTCACAGGTAAACAGTTTCTCCTCTGCAGTTGCTGGGCACAGGACTTCAGCAGCTCCATCTGTGACTGTGAGTGAACCTGAAGAACAAAACAAATTAACATGCCGTTTCCCAAAACTAACTAGGGCTGTAACCCATAACCTATTTATGATCATTAATGTTCAAACCAGTTCTGCTTTTCTGTTTTACATGATTGTAAACTTTGGGTTTGGACTGCTGAAGACTCTGTATTGGGCTCCAAAAAGGTGTCGTTTTTTTACACTTTGTTTTTACATTTTGTACACTGAACGATTAATTGAGAGTGTAATCTGCTGCCTAATCTATAATGAAAATAATGGTTAGCTGGAGTCCTATTGTTGATGTGGGGGAACGGTCACGTATCCTGATGTGCATCCACGCAAACCGCCTTGTCTTGTCCTTCAGTGTGCATCAAAAACTCATGTTCACAATAATTTCTTTAGATTCATTGGGACAAATTCAGCATCTTACCTTTGGGCCCATGTGGATTCACAGCTTCATTAATCTGGTCGGCCTCCTCATGTTCCTGCTTTACGCAGTGGTTCTTGTCGTCTTCAGTGATCATCTCGTCCTCGTTGTCCCGCCTTTCCTCAAGATGATCACTCTGCTCTTCCTCCTTACAACAACCAAGAGGGTGCATTTCTTCTTTGAGATATTCATTCTCAAGTACTGGCATGTCCCAATAAGAGTCTGTAACCTCCTCACTGTTCTCTGGATCATGCGCTAGTTCCTTTTTGCAGTTTGTAATTGAGACATCCATTATCTCCTTTTGGCTTACCTTAAGTTGTCCACAGTTTAGCTTAAGAGTTAGCAAATGCCTTTCAACTGTATGCGCATGATTTGTCTCTTCAGAGGCCGAAGATGCCTCTGTATTGACTTGATTTTTTCGGTTGTGGACCAAAGTGCCATGATCATCGTTCTGATCCATCTTAACCGTTATATCCTGATCTGCCTCATTGTGTATCTTGCGGCTGCTGCCATCCTCATCCAGCAGTAACGTGTGACCAAGTACACTTTCTTCAACCCTAGCCTCGATGTTCAACGTTCTATGCTGATGGGCCTTAATGTGAACCATGTTGGACTGTGCTTTTTCATACATCGTTGAGCTCCCATCTGTTTCCTCTTTTTGTTGTGTGAACATTATGCTGCCGTCCTCACTATCTCCGAGTTTGGGCTGAGCTTGGTTCTCATTTGTCTGCTTTTCTTTCTCTGGGCCACTGCAACTCTCCAATTGCATTTCCGCATTGTTCCCTTCTCCAACGTTTTGTCTTACTATATTTTCTATCTCCTGTCCTCTCGCAGTGTCAATCCCTGCTTGCTCCTGTGGTTTCTGCTCATGCATTTTTCGGACTGCAGTGTTTGGTTTTGCATTCTCATACTGAAGGTGTAATACAGAGCTCCTAGCAGGGCTTTCTTGATTTCCGTTCTTGATGTCTGGCCCTTGCTTCTGATGTCCTTCCTTGATCTGTGGTGTGATTTTTTCCTCGATGTTATGTACTGCCGGTTCTGCTGTTGTGTCTTGTGGAATTTCATCACAGTCCATAATTAACTCATCTGTCTTTAAATCGTCATTCTCACTGTCGGAAGGGTCCTCTTCAGGCATCCTTCCAACCCTTGCCTCTAGCTGGTCAAGGCTGACCTGACCGACAAGCTCATGATTCCTCAAGACCTGCACAAAACAAAAACAATATTAAAAAAAATATAGCTCAGCAGGAAACTGAAACACTGTATGTAGTTAAATGAACTGGACAGAGTGTTCGTTGTGTTTCAACAGTTCTGTTGAAAAATACACATACACAGTGTTGGTAAACAAGATGTTACCAAAAAGGACATGTCATCTCACTGAATCCTTGCATGTTTAGTTTATTTTTATTTTTTTAAATTTGTGTTGTTTTAACGTTACAACACTTTCAGCAAGGAATGGGCCATTGAGACTGGGCCAGTGTATGTGAATGAGTGGCAAGTACCAATGTGAAAAATGTGTCCCAAATGTTGCCATCATTTTTCAATTTGTAATTGGACTAATTTCACAGGACACGAGGGGTGGGATGTTGATCAGCCTGCAAATCAGCCACCCAAACCCAGCAGCGGTGGGAGGCTTCGGCAGACTACGTAGGATGCAGAGTGTGGGAGAAGTAGATAAACAAAAGCAAGACAAGCGAACAAATGCCATAGCGAGGTGGATAGCTACACACAGCATGCTGATTAGTACTGGGAAGATGTCGGTCTTAAAAACGTTCTTAAAACCGCAACGTAGTCGTTTGGCCCCGCGGGGTTGCTCGTTGCTCCGGTGAATAGACAGACGGCTTGTGTGCACTATACAGCTGTAGCCTTTTTAAGTGAAGTTAAAATTATAGACTCCATAACTTTACCTGATAAGCCTTCATCTAGTTTTGCAGGCATGCTCTGCCATGCAAATTCCCTCCTGTTGATGTCCTAATAATTATTTAGTAAACAGAAACAGATTCTGGAAACCAGAAGGATCAGAAACCAGCGAGGATCAGTCTCTCTTCCAATGATTTGTGCTCTGCGTCGCGTACAAAAAGTTCAAGACAATTCAACTTCAGCAGCGGGCGGGCGCTTCACCTCACTCCAACAGGGATACTTGCTACTGAACATAGACTGTTTATGCTGCTCCCTGATAAAAAGAAAAATGTTTCTGATGATACCTGTTCAGAAAAAAAAACAACCTACAACACTGGACTCTGATGATAACTTGTTTTAACAAGCTTGATAAAAAGGTAATGTCCTGGCAGCGGCAAATAGCTTTGGTTTTATAATACTGTGTAAAAGGAATACTGCTGGTAAAAAGCACCTTATTTGTTTGAAGTCTTTGCAAACCACATATGATTGCACTTTTGTGTATATAGCAGTACATTTGAATTAAAAGTGCGCAATACACTACTTTTGAATTCATTATTCAATTTTGCGCATAACAATGCGATTAATCGGGATTAAAAATTTTAATCGTTGCCCAGCACTAGCTGCTAATTTGGTCTCTGTGGCTCCATTTATCCAGGAACTATTTGGTGGAAAAGGGGCTATGGTGTCATACCTACACTACTCTCTTAACCCTCTAAGGGTTCAGTAAATAACTTTTATTTTCTAAATGCACGTTTACATCGGCTACTGAAAACAAAGATGTCTATAGTACGGGTCTGCCATACATCGTTCACAATATATTATCGGTATAATTTTTAATAAGCTAACAATTTCATAGTGTAACAATAGCGGTATTCTAACTTGTTCACGTAATGCCATCATACAGTTACACACTGCAACAATGAGCGTGGCTGAAAGCAAAAGTAAGATTGCCACTGGCTCACAGTGAAGGAGTTTGTTCCAAAAAAAGAGAAGCAACATCAATAGTGTGGAAGTGGTTTGGTTACAAAAGCGCAGATACAACAAACCACATGAACATGTAAGAAGTGCAAAGAGACTGTAACAAAAGTGGGCAACGCAATAAACTTATTTCACCACCTCAAGCAGAAGCACCCAGTTGAGCACAAGGAGAGCTCACCAGCTTCTGTAAGTTCTAACCTGAAAATATTTTTCAGTATTCTGTCATATCGTCAAGAATATCAATCTCGCAGAAATACCCTGAAATAATGCTACATTATTTTAGGGCCATGTTGTCGACCGTAGAATATAGTTCCCTTTGCTTTGTTAAATTTCTGTACACTAAAAGTGGTTAATATTTTCTTCCTTCAGGCACAAGGAAATTCCAGTGATGCGTAGAAGGGGTTAGCGACAAATCCTCACCTGATGCTTATCACTCAGGTGTGCCTCCAAGTCGCTAAGCCGAGTGCAGTCGAAGTAGCACAGCCGACATCTGTAGGGTTTGATGTCATCGTGCCTCATCATGTGCGCACTCAGGATTTCAGCACTGCCGCATGTAAAAGTGCACTGGTGACAGCGGAAGACGATGCCTTCAAGGTAACGTGATAGCTTCGGGCGACGCACCTCTATTGGCACAACACGCTCCTCTGGAAAACAAAAAACAAACAAAAAGCCTGAACGTAACATGACAGATAACGGGTGGGACTGAATCCTGTCGAGCATCAAACCTACCACGATGCAAGATGATGTGATCAATCATGTTATTTTTGTTCTTGGTGTGGTAGATACAGAAAGGGCAGCAGAGGTCTTTCTGATGTGCAGGTTCTGACTGGCAGCTAGAGTGACCCGTCTCCATGTGCATTTCCAGGGACCTCCTGATAAAAGGCAGAAGAAACGTGACAAGAACGCACGTCAGTTCCAAAATGTTTGGAGATAACCAGAGCGTCACAGTAAGTCATTCCTGCCTGTGGCCATCAAAACTTTATAACTCCTCCCTTTAAGTGTCTGACACATGGATACTTAGTTTTTAAATTGGACCGTATCATCTATTTTTGTGCAATATTATCTGTTTAATAATTAATGCAATATTGCAATATTCTCTGCTGCTATTTATTCACTAGTCCTTAATAATGTATTTATTATTATTGTACATACCCACAATATATTTATATACTCTATCTACCTTTGACAAGTGTGTATTAAAAAGTATTTCTGATTCTGATGTCACAGATATCCCAAATGACAGCTTAATGACCAATCACTATTTTCTATATTGCACTACATTAACTCTTCACCATTTTATTTGAGTCTGACTTCTGAGTGTGAAATGTATAAAAGCATCCATTGCATATATTACTTCTTCCTAACAATCCAATAAATGAATTGTGCCTTATTTGAATTGTAAAAGCTTTGCTAGTTGGTAGTCAGCGTTGACACATGATGATGATGTTTTCCACTGAGTTTCCCACTGAGTTTATATAGCATGCGGAATAGTGAATGAGAGATTGATTTGGACACCGCTATCAGAAGTATTGAAGAGCAAATGTTTTATATTTAAACACAAAAGAAAGAGTTTTAGAAGCATTGTATGATGTATGATCCTCACGCGTGTATGCTGTCTATCCCTATTGGATACAATCAAACATACCGAGTGGCTATTTTCAGTGGGGTCCCCCCCAAAGAATCCATTCAGGGGCGTGCCCTGTTTTCTACATCTAATTTAATTAACTGTAAAAACAGCACATTGTATGTAAATGTTGTGTATCCTATGTAAATTTTACTGACTTTCGGCAACACACTAAATAAAGTGTGATTATAAGTAGAAGAAATGCAAGCATTACAGTAGTTTTCCCTTTCCAACCAGCCTTTTTTAAATAACGGAAAATGCTCGTGGTGGCTGTGACTTACCTCAACCATGTGAAAAAGGTGCAGTCCTTACATCTGAGGATCTTCTTTCCATGGCGATTTAGGTAGTGTCGTCGCATACTTGACAGGTGTCCGGTGTTGAAATTGCAGACCTCGCAGTGAAGTAGGCTGTTCTCAGGTAAATTGGTTTCTTGCATGTTCGCTTTAGACTGGGCACCAGCCCGTGCCATCAAGTTATAGTGGCTCAACTGCCGCTGCACATCTGGGGGCTCCAAGTATGACGATTCTGTCGATTCGTACATAAATCACAGTCTCTACACAGCTGCTAATGCAAAAGGTTTTTTAAAATCTATACTTATTTTATAAGCAGTTATACACATTCTGATTTGTAAAACATGATAGGGATGACTTGCTTTCAATAATTTCAGGTTCTTCATCAAGATCAGGCAAATGGTTCAGTTCCTCAGATAAATTAGGGGGCTCGTCGTCGTCCATCTGAGCGCTCTCCTCATTTTGGTTGTCCGTCTCAGCAGGATCCACAAGCACATCTGGGCATTCAGCACGTAAATAGAATAAAACAGTCGATTATTAGCATTTGTGCTACACAGTCTGGTAAATTCCTAAATTCGGCTGCCTGCAACATTTCGAGTTTACACATTTTTTTTTAAAAACAGAATATGACCACAACCTCCCTTTTTTCTTTTAAGATGGCATTTTCACCACATAGAAAAACATCCAGAGTGGGACTAGTTACAGGAAGAGGTGACTATTAAAGTACAATACGCCTGCGACAGCACTTATTTAATACTTGGCTGGATGTTGGAGGAAGGACACCTTTCTGACTAAAATCAGCTCACAGAAATAATGCCAGAGAGCTGCAGTTGACAGTTTCCTGATACACCTAACTAAACTAATACAGTCGAGCAATAAAACAGTGTTTGCTGAAATGGTTTTAGAGAGGTGTCGATGCAGCAGTCTGCTCATTTTGGAGGATGTAGTCTGTGGTGCTGTTGGGACTGTTTAAGCACAGATGTTTCTAATATTAAGCCCACCCTCAATGATGTAAATATGATGTTCAATATATTAGACGGACTATGCAATACAACTCAACAACCCTGTAGCCTCCAAAATGACCATAAGGTTAAATCAGCACCTCTCTAACATTTCTTGAAGGTAGCGTTTTTTGCAGGGCCGTTGTCTTCAGACCAGGTTAATTTTAGCTAGGTGTACCTAATAATAATGTACACTAGTTACGTGTAAGAGCATATTTTAAAAACGTGTAAAAACACAGACAACATGCCAAGACGTCCTTGAATGTGTCACATTTTGGTCAAGATAACCTACAAACGTTCTGAAAATTCAACATATTCTCTGCGATCAAAAATGACAGCAGTTGGAAGAGAATACTTAATGCATCACAGTAACACGATACAATTACCAACACACTGAATGTTATTCACCTTGATGGTTTTTCATGAAATGACTCGACCACAGCCCCATGACAGTCGTCCGGTAGGAGCAGATACTACACACGAAAGGCCGCGTAGTCCCAGATTTGTAGATAACGTATTTGTTAATGCTGTTGAGATAATGGCAAAAAATACAAAAACAGTTCAATGAGATGTAATCACAGTTAGCTCATCAATATCCAAATATATGTTGGGAGCTCTGGACATCAACTTTTTAAAAATTTCTTGTTTGTTTAATTCTACACGAACACTTCTGACTTTTGTTTCGAAAACGCTTGCGCTGTAAAGAACTAGCATTAATCATTAATGATGATTTTTAACACGTATGGTCCTAATTTCCCAGCGTCCAAATACCCAAAGTTTCTTCTTACTTGTGCTTTAATGCTGAGGTAGGTAGACTGTCCAGTTTCTTGATGGCCGCCACAGCTGCATGGCTGCGCTCGTGTGAACGCAAACCTTTCAGCGACATAAACTTCCGCCCACACCGTTTGCAAGTGTTTTTGTCTTCTCTTGATTCCTGCTCTGGTTGCTCTAGATCACAGGGTTTTGAAGGCGACGGCAGAGGACTTGCTGGCAGAGTGAAGGTCTCTGCTGGCGTTACATTCCACCGGGCCAGTTCCTCCACAGTTTCCAACGTCGGCAATTCGTCTTGCATACAGACCTGAAAATTAAACACAGCAACAGAAAAAAACATTTTAAATTTACAAGCGTAGCTCAAAGCATGTAGCAAAGGATCATGGGAGTGAGTGACCATATTGGCAGAATCAACTTACTTCCATGGATTGGGCCTCTGGTGTTGTCGTAATGCCAAGCGATGCCTGTTCCTTCCTTATCTCCCGCTCTCTGTGGCCATCCAGATGATAACACAACTTTCTAGTTCCATTCATTTGTTTGTTGCAGAGGGCACACTTGTAAAGCCCCGTGCTCCTCTTTGATCCTTGTGATAACACGATAAAGTCCAACATGCTTTCTGAGATATGGAAAGTACTATAGTGGGCAATGAGGAGTTGAGATGAGTCAAACATTAAGTTTGGACACATCTTACATTTGACGGGCGCACCTTCCTCAGAATCAGCTTCAGGCGGGTTGCTGGTCTTGTTGTGTTTCTGTTTGTTATACCTCTCTAGCAGCTTGAATGTAGTAAACGCATCAAATTTGTGAGTTTTTTTGTAGTGACAAAGCAGATATCTTCGACGCACTCCCTTATAGGTACAAATGTGGCACTTGTACACTGATTGCTGGTACTTCACTAATGGTTTGTTTGGTTGACACGTTTCAGGAGCGCCCGGCTGGTGACTGAGGCCAATTTCTGCAGCACTCGCTGAGGTTTGTTTTTTTAAAGTGAAAGCCTCCAACACTGACACCTGAGAGCCGTGATCAGTTTCTTTTTCAGTTTCAGCTCTTTTCTCTGCCTTTTTGTGGTCCTTCTCCAGGTGGATTTTCAGTTTCTTTAATGACCGATGGATTTCCGGACATTTGTTACACACAAACCCTCTTTCATTGGAACCTTTTCCCATCGTACACCCGACCATGTTGGTAAGAAGTATTTCATCTCTTTTAAGTTTATCTGCCCTGGCTATGAATGCCGGATGCCTCATTTGGCAGTGAGTGAGCATGCCGTGAAGGCTAGCATTCACATAGGGACAACGTGGGCACTTGTAGACTAATATTTTGTTTTCCTCTGTCGTCGTGCTGGTTAAAGGGCTGTGAGTAGATTCTGGCACTGGCTTCTCGCGGACCTTCTTGTATGCTGGTACAAAGTATTTCAGGAAAGCTTCTTTTCCATGTTTCCTAGTGTAGTGGCTTCTAAGACTGTCCTTCCTGAAATAGGAACTGGAACACAGGAAGCACTTGTGCACACAATCCTGAACTTTTAAAACAGGTGCATTCTTGTGGTGAACACGCAAGTGTCGATCGAGTGCAATTTTTGCGCTGCAAGTGTAAGAGCACTGCTGGCACCTAACCACCGCATACACCTTCTTACTTAAAAAGGAAGCTTTCGATACTGATCCCCAATTGCTGTTGGTCTTGGATTGTTTTATTTTACTCACAGCTGATGGTTTAGGAGCTTGCTTGAGCGCGTTTACCACCGTCTCACGGTGGTCCTCGCAGTGCTTTTTCAGCTTCTCCAGCGTTGCGCAGATTTGCGGGCAGGTTTTACACATGTACCCACTAAATCTCGAACCAGGACCTTTTCTCACCTTCATGTCGTCCACATGTGCATCATCCACGTGAAGACTGTCTGCCCTGGCTGCGAGGGCAGGATGCCTCATCTGGCAGTGAGTGAGAACTCCTTGATATATGGTATTCACGTAGGCACAATGTGGACACTTAAAGACATGCACACGTGTTTTGCTGGTGCTTTGCTGTTCTTGCGGTTCATCTACATGTTCCATCACAGCTTCAGGGTGTTTTATTCCACAGTGAACTTTGACACCGCGCTGGGTATAAAACTTTTCAGGGCAGTGAGGGCACTTGAACATTTTGGTAAATGCTGTTGCTTCATGAGACGAACCACGTCTGTTTCCTTCAACAGGCACTTGATAGGTGTTGAATGATGCAGACATTTCATTGTGGTCTTCCACCTGCCTGTTTGCACTTGGCTTCTTTCTGTTGATGACATCCAGGACCGAGCCATCTTCTTTCACAGACCAAGGATGAACAGCATGGTAGTGGTGGATGATGCTTGCCATAGAACTACCTTTAAATGAACAGGCTCTGCACGAATATGTCTTGGTTTCACTTTTTCCACTTCTTTGAGACGACACGCTGCCATCAGTGCCATCACCATCAGCGTGCCTAATTTGGGGTTTCTTCCTTTTAAGGGGCAATGTTTTGGGACCAACATATAACAAAGAAGTTACATACTCGAGGCTCGGGCTACGTCCTGGGTGATGCTCCTGGTAGTGCTTATAGACGGCCTCTGCTTTTTTGTGAGAGAAAACACAGGAGTCACAGTGATATCCCGGCTGTAAAGTTCCTTGTTTATAACACACTTTTAAAACAGCTGTGACAGAGCGCTTTATTTTGTGGATTTTCCATATATGCCTCTTCAGAAGATACACATATTGAGTGCTGTACGGGCATTTATAGCACTGAAGGGCCCTCTGTGTTTTGGTTGAGGGCGATTCTCTAGTTGAGGGTGATGATGTTACTTTGCCTAGCTTCTTGGTTTTTGTCTTTTTATTTCCTTTTTCCTCAGTGGATGCACAGCTGACTTCTTGGTTTGCAGTTGTTTTCAGGTGTGATTTCCGTGTCTGTTTGAGAACCATGTCAGTATACAGACGAACTTGTTTGCCCTTAACCACAAACCCACGATGCCTTTTGGAGTAATGCCGCAGTACCTGGTCCACGGTGCCTTGTCTATAGTTGCAAAAGTGGCAGAAAAACACATCTTCATCATCCCTATTCACAAGAGGAAGAGGTAGATGAGTAGAAAAGGGCAACTCCTTTGCTTGAGACTTAGATTTTTCAATTTCCCCACGAATTAAAGTTGTATATTCAACAATACGTTCTTTGCTGTAATGAACGTTTTGGTGAACTTTGCGTTGATGGTTCAATATTCCTTTTACAGATAGAGTTCCAAAGTTGCACGTTTGGCAGTAAAACAAGTTTTCTGCACACTGATAAGCATTCAAGTTCGTCACCGAAGCACCTGCAGCATCATCCTCTCCATGCTGAAGTTTGTTTTCACTACATACCTCAATTTGTTTACGACTTTTAGACTCAGAGGGTGTAGGAGTTGTTGAGGCCTCTTTGTCGCTGGGAAGTTTCTTTTCCTTCACCTCGGCGCTATACCGTAAGACATCTTCAATTCCTGTTAGTTCACTATCAGCATGTTTGACATTATGATGACTTACAACGCTTCTGATGTTGGTGCTTGAATAACTGCAACACTGGCAGTAAAATAATTTATTTGGTGAACTGCTGGGTAAACTGTCCATTCCGTTAGACATTTCCCTATCAGGTTTGGGAGGCGACTTCCTCCTTTTACTTCTGGCTGAGTCCACTCTCTCTGTTTCGGAAGACTCTGAATGAATCTTAGAAGCTTCTGCTGTGTGCTTAGGATTTATCAAAAACAACGAAATCTTCTTTTGCTGTGACAGCTCAACCTTGTTTCTAGTTTTCATCGGAGACTCCGGGATGTGCTTTGGAGGTGTAGATTTTTCTGCCACGGAGTTCGGAGACTTACCAGCCGTCACCTGTGATGTTGTCTGTGACATGACACGAGCTGACTGTTTGATTTTGTCTATTGTGACTGCTTCATTCGGGTGGCTTTTTTGGTAGTGGACATGCATGACAACAACTGACTTATGACTAAACTTGCACTTGTTGCAATGATACAAGGCCACGTCTGCTCCTTTGGAGGTGGGATGTTGCGGTGAGGTTGCATTTTTAATTTCCTTGCTTGGTGTACGGGCACCGTCGGGAGAAATCCCTCCTGGTCTTTCGGGACTGGGTGCTTTTTCACATGTATTAAACCGAGATGATCCCTCTTGGCATCTAGTCGCCGAATATCTGCAGTACATCAAGGAATTTTCCACTGTATGTGTTGGGTGCTTTTCCTTGCAATGTTCTTTCAACGCCTTCAATGAGTTGGTGGTAAATGAACACACAAAACATTTGAAAACCAGACGGAATTCATGCGATTGCATCGTAAATACATCTGGGGCCTCTGGATGATTTTCCGTGTAGTGACTCTTGAGACCAGCTACACTTTGAAACTCAACTGGACACTCCAAGCAACGAAAGGTAGCGCTCTGATCCTTGGGATCCTGAATGTAGACAGTGTTGTGTGTTACGTAAGGGTGGTCAGTCTGATAATGGGTAGACACATGTCCGATGCCAACATTACCGTAGTCACAGTGCTTACAAAAATAAACGTTGGGGCTTTCTCCGTCTCCATTAACAAGTTTAATCCTCTTTTCTTCTTCATCTTCACTAACTTCAAATGAAAACTCTGGGTTGTTTGATGATTGTTGTTTACTTTTGTTTGATTTCTGAGGGAGATTTGTCCCTTCTTTGTCTGACTTAGCTTTTTTAGCAGGAGGACCTTTTACGCTTTCTTTACTAGTCCTCTTTCCTGTGTCATTAGGAACTGTTCCTTTGTCTTGTTCCTTAGGCTTCTGTGGTTTCAGTTCGCAAATTAAAAGACGTTCATTTAGCAAAAAATTGTCTGAAACACTTTTGGCGATGTCAATCGTTGGCTTTGCAGTGACTTTAAACACACCACTGTTTGGGGTCGAGATGGAGGGAGATTCCTGCAAAATCAGGGTTCCTTCTGTGCTATCCAGAAGCATTGAGCCATCGACCACCTTCACTGGAGATTTCCCATTTGATCCAGATGATGGTGCAATGTACTTCGTGATGGTTTGCAGTGGTCTCTTGTACGTTTTCAGATCCTTTGACGAGTTAACTGTGCACTTAGTTTTTGAGGTAGACATAATCTCCTCTGCCCCTGCAGCTTCCTCATGCTTGTTTGTCGAAATGACAGTCTCCGGGTTTTCAGAAATGATTAGATTAATATTGGAGTTGTTCGGACACTGTTTCTCATGTTTGTTTAAAAGCTCCCGACTACAAGCTTTAAAAGCACAATTCTGGCATTCAAAAGGATTTCCTGTGCTGTTGCCATAGCTGTCCGTGTTGGCTTTGACAGTCCTAGACGATTTTAGACCGGCATCTCTGAGAGCTACATCTACATCAATGCCATGCACCTTGTTGAGGTGTTCAAAAAGGTAGATCTTGGATTTGAAGATGAGCGTACACTGAGTACAATGGAAAGAGTTGATCTGGGTTTCTTGAGTGACAGCTTGATTGTGTATCTTTTGGCCAGAGGTGGAAAAGTGCATTGAATCTGAGGGGGCAAATTACAGATCATGTTGAATACTCAACTTAATGTGATGCCCTGCATTCAATCAACGCTTAGCACTGTTAAAACATTTACTGTAACTCGTACCTTTTTGCATCTTGTACTCCTCTCTAAACCCAGAGCCTTACATATGAAGACACCGCTGTGAACCACCTAGGGGATGAAAAACATACATTATTGCAAAGCTCAGCGCCATGTTTTGGTTACTGCTTTGTTTCCACTATTAAAGTTAAGTGCAAAACTGAGGGTTTCTACTTGGGACTTAAAAAAGGAAACACTGACAACAACAGAAGCAACGCTCTTCTCAAGCAGTATAGGAAAATCATTGCAACAATGGCAGTAGAAACGGCTTAGGACCTCCCTATTTAATTCCGTTAATCTTAACAGGAAGGAGGCGTAAAAAACCGAGTCTAGCTCCTTTACTGACACGGACTGTTTCAAAAACACAACCAGTGTCAAACAAATACAACTCACTAAAGTACTCAGTGCGCACACAGTACGTACTCACGCATGCAGATAAAACCAGGAGGAAGCTTATGAGACAATATTTTGAATCGCTGATGTTGATAATGGGAAGAGAGCGAACATTTCCGCCATTTTTCCCGCGAGTACAACTCGCTCTGGCTTTTTCTTCCGCTCCAACAACACATTTTCACTTCCGCCCGAACTTCACGTAACCTTCAAAATCAAACTGATTACAGGAGCCCATGAGGCTGTGCATGAAAGACTCACTCGATTTCTCCCAGTGCACCAGGGGAGACTTGTCTTTACAGTTGTTTGGTCTGTTTATTGGGCCAAAGGGCCACTGTGTGACGTTATTTCTGACTATTCAACCACAGCTCATTTGGGGTCTAACGTAGTAAAATCAAAATAAGAAAGTGGAAATTCCACAGTTTTAAAATAAAACACGATATATTTATATTTGCTAACATTTAACGTTATATTTGCTATTACAAATTAATAACAACAAATCATGACGTGTCTTGTTTTACTATATGAATAGAAAGATCAAACTGATCCCAAGTAGAAAAATACACAAAAACACAAGTACATAAATAATATGAAAATACAAAAAAAGGACGTTATTATCCTTAGCATCATGCTAAATATCAGTTCATACGTATTCGACAAAAAACTCGTGCCTTAATTGTGAAATCAGTTACACAAATTTGACCGGAAGTACTTAGTTACTGGCTATAATATTAATTTGCATTTGTAACACAACCCCCATTTTTCCAAATATTTTATATTAAGTCGTATTAATTTGTGGTATATCTAATAATGTTTCATATTCTTGCAGGCGTCATAATAACACACGGTGGATGTTTGCCCTTAGGGCTTTCTGATTCTGCTAAAACCCCATAGCGCCTCGAAATAGAGACCAACCACAGCACAGTAGGACAGAGAGTCTTACGCTGCAGATATTGGACTATATTAATTAAAATTACTTGACAGTACTGTGCATTGGCAGCTGAATAATTTTAAAAAAGTGAATTAATAAATTTGTAAATGAGATTTGGTGAATAAGTCCCCTTGGGCCAGTTTCAGTAGCTCATATGTAGTCTAGTCAGAAAATATTGTCATTCTGACAGCCACAGCCAATAATGATTTTATTATCATTACTTTTGTTTCAACCATTGGTTTTTTGAATCCCACCTGGAATCCGATCAGATCAGAGTTAAACTGACCACCCCATACACGGCTCATTAGATTTCAGAGGGCAGCTTTCTGCTTATGGTGACAATGGGCTTCATTCAGAATTTTTCAGAATCAGAGTCAGTTTTTATTGCAGGGTATGTGAACACATACGAGGAATTTGACTCAGGATTGTACATTGGTCTCGATGTGCTTACTTACTACAATAATACAATAATACAATAACACAATAATAAAATAATAATAAAATAAAATCAGACACAAACTACAGAATAGACAACACTAATATACACACTATGAACAAAACAATATAGACATATTGACAAATAGTGCAGTGATCAGAGTGCAAAGGATGCATAAGTAGGATTTATAAATGTTACACAGACACTATAGCTAACTAAGTAACTTTCAAATTAACTTTCAAAGGTACAATGCCATAATAGCTTAAAAACGACATAATTTCCCAACAAACTGACTTTGCCATTTAATGTAAACGCAGGTACTGTAGTTTGTCTTCATTTGGTGGTTAAAAAAACGCCACTGTCCCTGCTTTTATTTTGAAAGTAGAGTCTAAAATATTTTTTTATCGTATATAACGACAAAATATATTGTTATATTATATTATATGTTCATATATTTAATATTACCATATTTATACCGCCATTCATAATGACCGTCACGTTGTTGCGCTTTACCCAAAGACTGTATAAAAGTGTACCTGAACACCTGGACAGAACATAAAATTGTTATTGTTTTTTGTTTTTTTTAACTCTTATCCAACAGTCAGTCCAGGTTATGTTCATGATTCCAGTAATGAACGTCCACAGACCGCTCCAGACACAGACTGACGTGCTTTACGCACGTCCATCAAAGAAAGGCAGAGCAGAGCAGCGCAGATTGTGTCAATTTTAAACTTAAACGACTTGAGCGTTGCTTTCTTCCGAGCAGAATGAAGAACTCTATTAATTTCAATTACAAACATATAAATTAAAACGAATAAAGGCTAAACATATAACTTTGATTTTGTCCTTACTGTTTATAACTCAGCGGTATGTGGCCGAATTAGTCCTGGTTGTTTCCTTTCTGATGATCACAGAAATCGAAAAGAGAAAAGAGAAATTTGATGATGTTTGATCCTGGATGTTGACCGTCCCCTGCCGTGGTTGTCATTGGGTCCGAGGACTGGCATTATTTCCTCCGGAGCGATATGTCGGGCGTACCATAACAGGAAGCACAGCAGCAGTGAGCGGGTAGGGGCTAGTCTCCTTTAAAATCTAAATTTTGTGTTTGTCTGTAACCTATGGCTGTAACTCACAAGGTAAGTTTTTTTCACCGCTACACCACACGGTATTCTGTCAAAGATAATGATTATATATTTCCTATTAAATAGCAAACTTAATCTAGAGTTAGAGTCTAACATTCATTTATGTATTCAGTAAGTGAATGACAATGAGTGTGCGCCGTTTTCAGTATGACTTTATCTACTTTTAAGCTAACTTACTTTTACCAGCAACAGCTTATAAAACCAGATAATGTTGTAGCTCCACGCACATAAACAGCTCTCTTACACATGGACATCTCAGTGTTTGTGCAGCTGATTCACTCCAGCACAAAAGGAATGCCTGTTGCAGCAGATCAGTGTGAGAAAGCCACTGACAAACCATTGTGTGTGTGTGTGTGTGTGTGTGTGTGTGTGTGTGTGTGTGTGTGTGTGTGTGTGTGTGACGTTAATGTCAGTCTGACCTCAGAGAAACACCATGCTCCCAGCCAAGCTGACCAGCCGGTTTACTCTGAACGCCCTGAGAAGGATTCACCATGGACCTTGTTACCCCTGTCTTTACTCCCTGTCAAACTGCTCCCTTCACGTGGAAGGAGGGAGGGCTAGAGACGGTCTCCACTCAGATCCCAGTGTGTTGAGAAGAGTGTTTTACAGCCAGAGTGCAATCCGCCCATCCCTCAGACTCCGTGAAGCTGTGCAGCACTATGGGAGGAGATCGTTCAGTTTATCGGCTGCTACAATTGTGAATTCAGCACCAGCGCCTGTTCAGCCATACCTCCGATTGATGAGGCTGGACAAACCTATTGGTACAGTTTGATCTTTCTGTGTATGCTTATTCAGTTGTCTTATTTAGAGTTTATTTACTTTGAATGGAACATATAAATGTTGGTTTTATTATTAGTTAATGTTAATTTTAAAAAGCAGTATTGTTTCAGCATTACCATTAGTGCTGATGTTAGGTATATTGTTAAATCTTAATTATAGTAATTGTGTGATAATGAACTTTGTATAAATATAATAGTCTATTAAAAACACTCAGTGACCTTGAGATAGGCAGTCTTAATAAGATTTACTTGATTTTATAAAGGCCTTTTCCAGATGTGCATATTGAAGGTGGTATTTGCTATAAAGAATATTTTAATCAGCTTCAAAAGACCATATTAATAACATTCCCACTTTTATAATTTAAGATTTAAGTGTGATTTTCTGTTCAACGCAGTGCTAATCAAGTTAACTGAATGTAACGTTAGATATACCTCTCTACGTCTGCAGCTTGGAGTTAAACCAAAAGGCTAATCTCTTTTTTAGTTCAGTTGAGTTATGGTGCGTCTGTATATCGTAGGGACATGGTTGCTGTACCTCCCGTGTACATGGAGCATTGCTTTGGCTTCCGACCCCGGATGTCTCCCACATCTGGGCATGCTCACCCTGTTTGGTACAGGGGCTCTGCTGATGAGAGGAGCGGGCTGCACTATCAATGACATGTGGGATAAAGACTTTGACAAAAAGGTATATGAAACACACACACATATATATAGCCATATACACATAAGCTGAGCGTAGTAGGTGGCTTTTCTCATGCAAGTGATTTTCGTTGACCTGATTTTGAGAACTCCCAAACAGCTTAGCTCTTATTTTATGTTTTGTCCTGTCAGCTCCAGTTTTAATTTACTCGATATTCCCTGAGCAGTCTCATTTTCTGCTGCATGTAACAATGTCATGTGGAAGTATTTTCTAATCATGCATTTTGACTATAAATATAGTAACAGTCAATAACACCCTCCTTACTACTATTTTACAGCAAGAAGTATTCATTCCGAATCTGATTTCTGAAAGTGATGATGTTTTTGTGCAGGTGTCCAGGACAGCCACTCGACCCATTGCGTCAGGAGAGATTTCTCAGATGCAGGCACTGGTCTTTCTAGGAGGGCAGCTCTCTCTGGCACTTGGTGTTCTCTTGTGTCTCAACTATTACAGGTACCCAGTGATGTTCATATTTTTATTTAGATCTGTATAGTGATCAGTTTAAACAGAGACGAGGGAACAAACGACCAAGTGTGTACATCAGACAAAAAACCCCATGAGGCCTCCCATGAAAATAAATCAGTGCAATAATGATGCCTTTAGGATAGGTTCACTCTTTTTCAAGTCTGTCTCAAACAATTTCAAATGTGCATTGATAGAAGTTTGCTTGATGTAATAATTTCACCTGTTCATATTGGCCATGAAGAGATCCCATGTACTAAAATGTTATATAGAGACTCTCTTTCTTTGTGTTGCTCAGATTGATGAAGCCTCATATTAGCTTCAGATTAAACTTGAATTTAATTGAATTTGAATTTTTTTTTTGCACAAAACAAGTATTCACTGTCAGTTATTGGGAAAAGTTATTTATATATTTAACAGCTTGCCACTGTTATGCTATTCACAGCATAGCTTTGGGTGCTGCTTCATTATCTCTTGTCATCACATACCCTCTGATGAAGAGGATCACTTACTGGCCACAATTTGTGTTGGGTATGTACTGTATAAGATTATCCATCTGAACCTAATTCTTCCCATCAGCAAAAATGAAGTTGGTCTCATTCTCCTTCTGTTACTTCTGTCCAGGCCTCACTTTCAACTGGGGAGCGCTGCTCGGCTGGTCCGCTGTCAAGGGCTCATGTGATTGGTCCGTCTGCCTCCCGCTGTATTTCTCAGGAGTGATGTGGACGCTGATATATGACACAATATATGCACATCAGGTAATGTAGGGGGGCTCCACAGATCTCTGGTTATTTTAAACATTTACAATCAATTTTATTATGATAAACTAAAATATCTGGATTTGAATATGCAACAGATGAGCGCTTAGAGGTGAGAGAAGACTGAAGAATTCTAATTATAAATGCAAAGTCTCTGTCATTATGAACTTGTACTGATTTATTTTTTGCCACCTGCATTTAGCTGTTTGACACTGTCTTGTTTAAATTCTTACTAGCTGGGCATTTCTCCATGGATAATTTAACTTACCAGAAACCACCTTCACCTTAGTGGGTGCAATGACATCACTAACATTCGTAATTTTAGAACTGAAATTATCTACAAACTCAGTGACTCAAGAGAGGGCGAGTGTGGAAGAGAAAGCCTGAATAAATAGTTCACTGGTGTTTTTAGTGATACCTTTATGTGATTACCTCTGTTTAAACATGTGTCTGCACGGAGATAGTAGAAGAAGATTAAAAGATACTTTACTGTCACATACACATTGCAAAATTCATTCTCTGCATTTAACCCATCCCTCAAGGGAGCAGCCAACTCCAGATCTTTACCAGTGTCTGGTTAATAGCACTGAGTGGAGAACCTAACATGCAGACACAGGGAGAACATGCCTACTCCACACAGAAAGGGGTTTCCACACAGCAACCGGGGTTTGAACCCAAGGCCTTCTTGTCGTGAGGCCATAGTGCTGTCCACAGGACCACCATGCCGCCCAGATAATGCTGCCAAAGAAAACACAGGAATGGTCAGCACGACCTTACAAATGTTCAGATAATCAGATAATTGTGCCCCTTGTTGTGTGTGGTCTCTGTCGCATGCTGAGTCAGTTTTCAAGAACACAATTCTTTGGTGACTTTGTCTTGGGGGTTGTCAACATGAATGTTAAAATCACTGACAATAACTACAAAGTCAATAAGATTAGAGACAGTTCAGTAAAGTCATCAAAAACTCTATCCTCTTGCACTCTCGTTTCACTCATAGAACTGAAGTTGGGAGGGGTTGACTCGAACACTCGATTTTTTTCTGCCAAAGAATAAAAAAAATTAACAAAGTTAGTTTTAGTGTGGTAGCATTATATACACCAATTTTTAGGGACAGGCTGTGGCTGACGAGGAATGGACACTGAATTTGATACATTTGCAGAATCGGTTGAGTGCACTCTCTTGGGTCTTCAGCAATACACATACCAAGTGAGAATTCGATCAGATGAATGGTTTTTGAAATATGAGAATGAAATTCATACATACATACACTGATCAAAATTATAAACGCAACACTTTTGTTTTTGCCGCCATCATGAGCTGAACTCAAAGATCTAAGACTTTCTCTATGTACACAAAAGACCTATTTCTCTCAAATATTGTTCACAAATGTGTCAAAATCTGTGTTAGTGAGCACTTCTCCTTTGCCGAGATAATCCATCCACCTGTCAGGTGTGGCATATCAAGATGCTGATCAGACAGCATGGGTATTGCACAGGTGTGCCTTAGGCTGGCCACAGTAAGAGACGTGGTATGGCGGTCCCTCCCATACACCGGCCGCATGCAGGGCTCAGAAAAATGCATTTGACATCTACTTTATTTTTTAGTTTAGCCCGTGTCCTGTCCGCTAACATGGATTTACTTTTGGGGATCTGTCATTTCGTCCATCTTTATATACAGCCTAAGCATTGGACCAAGAGAATTCTAGGGAGGACTAACACTTAATTATTTCCCAGTACACAGCCCTCCTGTTTCTTGGTAGTCTTGTTGGTGGTAAGTAACCATGTGTTAGTCCACTGTTTTGAGTCAATGGTAGAGACGTGTTATTCCCACATAGTCCGTTAACATGAGTGGTGATGGAGTAGTCGCTTTGGATAAAAGCGTCAGCTAAATGAATAAATGTAATATCCATGTTCACTTCTAACCGGTGAATTTTGGTTTCCAGCACTGCAATCTTCTGCAGAGGTTTGTGGTAGTTGTCTGTGGAAAAGGGGTGCATCTTGCTGCCAGTGAGCTTTAGATAAGTACGATGTTTCCATTCACTGAAGTATAGACCTGATTAGTTGGTAGGCCATGCTCACAAAGTACTGATTAGAATAATAGTGACTGAGACATGGCTCCCTCTGTTCTTTCTTTGATAACAAGGATAAGGAAGACGACATCAAGGTAGGAGTCAAATCTACTGCACTGAGGTTCCAGGAGCAAACCAAACCTTGGCTAAGTGGCTTCACGGTGGCCATGATGACTGGACTGGTGGCAGCTGGGGTCAATGCTGAACAGACTCTCCCATACTATGCTGTACTGTCCACAGTGGCCATTCACCTAACACATCAGGTGAGGAACATGGTGTAATTTAGTGTAGTCTGAATGCTCTGCCGCCAACGGGTTAATTATTACAGTACAAAAAGTACAGAGTTTAATTCCTTAGTGAGATAATGTTCAACTGAGTGAATTAGTAATGTATCTGTGTAATTTAATACCACCAGTAACATGTCCTCTTAGTCATTATCCTAACCAAACAGCATCAGTCTCAATGGGGTTTCCGATAAAATGTGATATTTACTCTCCTCTCTTTTAGATTTACACCTTGGACACTAACAAACCGGAGGACTGCTGGAAGAAATTTGTCTCAAACAGAAACCTCGGACTGTTGTTGTTTTTAGGCATTGTTGCTGGCAATTTGTGGAAAGAAAGAGAAGAGACTTTGCTGCAAAATGAGGAAGCATTCAGATAAGTGCGATAATCTGTACAATATTTTATTACACTTGCAGTACATCAAACTCTACAACATCTTTTGGGAATTTCACCCTCAGCAAAGTTCTACGAGAAAACACAATGATGCACTATAAGCTGTATGATTTATTTTAACCCATACAATAAAGTTATTGATTTATTTTGTCATAAAACATTTACATTTATGGATTGAAAAATTCACTTTCATCTGGAAATTAAATACCTCCTGATTCATGCATTATTCATTCAGCAACATACTTTAAATAAACATGCATAATAGGGGAAATTGTTGCTAAATATACCACAAATCAGCATTATGCAGTTTTGACCACTAGGCAGCAGAACAATCCCACAAACAACGGCCACCATAATGGGAACAGTATGTACTGGCTTTTTAGTTTTGTCCACCAAGCACTGAGAGAAATACCTGGATCTTAACTTTTTTGTGATTTCACAAGTTTGCTTCAGCTCTGTCTTCTGCGAGGCAGGTAAACTGCAGCTGATTATTTTATAGCAGTTGTTGAGAGTACTCGCGCTACATGTACATATGTGCAGGCTGCACAAATAGATGTGATGAAATAGGCTAAAAGCTGCTCAGACCTGCACAGTTGGGTGTTGTCTCCAGGTTTGGCACTATGAGCTGCCCTCTCACGTATTTGCCACGTATTTCAGTGCCAATATAAAAACGGTCACTTAATGCAGGTTTGAATTACAAAAGTGATCTTCAGTTCAGGCTAGCAGAGAACATGGCTCAAATTTTTGATATTGTCGTTTGTTTGTTTGTTTAGAATTAGTGGTGACTGAAACATAGAAATAAAGAATAAATTCCATTATGTTCTAACATTACTCAAGACAAGGCATCATTTGAATAAAATTATCAATTGCTGTGTTGTGGATAACACAGCTTAGGGCTGAACAACTAATCAAAACTTTATTGAAATCGCAATATGGCATACTGCAATTTACAAATCACAAGAACGCAATATTTGCGAAATGTGAGTATCAAAATACCTTTTTAAAAAAAAAATATATATATATATATATATATAGTCATGCTGCACGTCATATTCTCCATGCTTAAGAAAAGATCTTTGTTTGGTACAAATCCTTTAAAAAATCATGCCAAAATTGTTTTTCAATGAAAATGAGAATAATGATGTAAAAAATAAACAATCCCTCTAATATTGCAAATCATAACACAATTGTAATCAGTCAAAATAATCAAAATATATTTTTTTAAATTGTCCAGCCCTAATGCAGCTTTTATTGAACACTTTGTTTATTAATTTTTCCCAATTCAACAAAACACCATTAACAGTACAAACAACACCAACAACAAAGAAAAGCAACACAAACATACAATATGTTAGGCAGATTCTCCATGCTGAGAATAACACAAAGTCCATTCATATATTTTGATGACAGTACAAGCTGTCATATTGGAGTGGACCCTTTATATCACTAATAGGTAAGTATAGGAGTGTGGTCATGTGACTACATTAGTAAACTGTGTTGCGTTTGAGAAAGAGCAGGATTATATTAAAAAGTGGAAACAGACCTATGTATGTTATAGACAAAAGTCTCAAACCAGACATATTTCTTAATTCTACTGCTGTAACAATACAAGCAACAATCATTTGAGTGTTTATCCAGCTTAAACAAGTGTATATCTTCCTCCATGTTGATGGATGTTTTGGGCACAAGTGCCTGTGTATATGATAATCTGCTTTCACTGTTGCTGCCCAGGTCATCATTCCCACAAAGTGACCTAAATGCAAACCATGCCACCACACTGAAAAACTAAAAGTCATGAACAACGGGAAATGTTTGCACCTTATATAAACCAGTCTACGCAGCCATGAAGCTGTTGTGGCGTTCCATCGACGGGCAAACTCTGACATGCGGGTCGAGGCTTCGATGGTCCAGAAATCCCCATCAGATAGTCCGCTCCAGGCTGAGGAGTCTCCTGATGAATTTTCCCAGAAGCCAAACCCGGCTGCATTATTGAGGCATTCACTGATCTTCCAGTGAGAATAATATTGGATCCTCAAAACCACCGCTAGACCCCAAACCCACAGGACGCCATAGAGAATGATAGATTTGGAGGGATCGTAGGTGTTATGTTTCAGAAAATAGGAAAGACCATGTCTTACCCACTCTAGCAATAACACTTGAATCAACTTTAGGAAGACCACACTCAGTGGATTAGGCAGAGGGTTGAGGCTGATTTCCGCCATTAGGGACACGAATCGGCTATAGGAGCACAAAGGGCCACCAAGCAGTGTGGTGAAATTGAGGATGTAGCTGATAAGAGGGAGAAGCATCACACAAGCCTCCCGTTTGGATGAAGCATTCAGTGGCAACATAACTCGTTTCTCCTGGAGGTCCATGGAGACTGAGGTGATTCTCTGCGTAAGCAGCATCAAAGAGGACGCTGCCAAAAACAATCTGAAAGTGCAAGAGTTTTCATTTGAGTTCTTTCCACCCCACAGCTTAGAGCATATAAAGCATCCAACAGCTTAGGTTCAAAGTTCCTCCTTAACGGTGGAAATTGCCCTTGATAAAACAATTTCACCTGATGGTCCATTTAGTAGCTGCTCTGGAGCTTTCGCACATATCCTAGGGTTGATTCCAGGAAACAGCACCTGACAATTTCTGGCAAAACAACGTGTGTGAGAAGTCCTAAAGCGAAAGTTTGAACATCTACTGATCTATAGCAGTTGAGCAAAATCTCTGTGCTGATGAGGACAGTGTTTTATGGTCAAAAGCTCCAGGACAGCTACAATGGACCTTGAGGTGATTTCCAGTTGGTGGAAAAGACATGGTTTCATTCTAAAAGGAAATCTCTTTTCAACAGATGTTTTACTGTTTGATCATATCCACAGAGATGGTTGTTTTTGGACGCAGTGGGCTTTAAATAGCCAATAATGTTGTTTGTCTTTATTTTTTCTTTATTTTTCTTTCTGCATTCATGTAATATTCCGAGGGTTTGTTTTTCAGAAGGCGTTATTCTATTTTTTTGTTGTTATTGTCAACAAATCCCATGGAAAGACCACAACCAACAATGTGTCTCTGTAGTTTCAGACTTCCTGAGCTTGTCTGTAGCGCATTTTTGGTGAACATTTATAGAGGCAGGATGTTCTTTGTAACTGTACTGTGATAATGTGTGATGTGATAGATAATCATTGTACAACAATGGAGCTCTGTGGCACAGAGGAATAAATCATATCAGGTGATACTTGTTAGTGGGATCAGGTCATTGTGGGTTTTGGTCTTATCATGGGATTTGTTGACAATAAGAAAAGTATAGAATATCACCAGACTTTAAATACATAAAATTATTACCCAGACAGCTAAGTTGATCTCTCTTGTAAAGCATGATTTAAGTACCTGATGCTGACGGGCTCACGCAGGTAGTATTCCCTGTACTGTATAAGCAGGTGCCAGAAGGTTTGCCACAACATCTGGACACCAAACACCCAGGCATGGATACATCTGGGATCCACAGAGCACACGAGCAGAATAAAGACAAAGGTGGAGGTGAACAGAAGCATGCTGTAGATACCCATCGTGACACCTGCCAGGACACATCCTCCGACAGAAACAAACAGGTACCTGTAGATGGAAATTCATGTTGACAACTAGAGCTGCAAAGATTAGTCAGTAAGCTGCTGGTCGACGGAAAATTAATTTGTCAGCTATTTTAATTATGAATTAAACTTTTAGGCGTTTTTTGCATGTCATTGTAAACTGAATGTCTTTTGGTTTTGGAGTGTTGGTTTTGGTTTGCTGACGTTCACAATTAAGGGCCGTGAAAATGTGATGGGCATTCTTATTGACAACTTAGTGTGGTCCTGACTGATTAAATTATTTAAAGGATACATTTAAAAACACCAAAACAACTTTCTGTTATAGAGAAGTTCAAAATGCAATCTGATAAATAAAATATTAATGTATATCACACAAAAATAACATGTTTCAGTTCACATTTACAAGTCAAACTTCTTGAACCTACCAAAATCTAAATCCAAATAGATAAAAACAAATATGGTTTTACGGTTTTATGGCTCATTTTAGAGTATTATGGCTCCAAGAGTAATAGTTCCCTATAATACACTAAAAGATTACTTGACACATTAATTTTAAAATGTAATATCTATCAATCAATTTGTAATCACATACCTGTGCGTCAAGGACAGATATCCCCGTTTAGCAAGAAAACAAAACAAAAATGCGAATGGAAGTGAAAAACACTGGTGCATTAAAAACTGATGCTGCTCCCACAACCAGTCCATCAAACCCATATCTGGCTCTGGCTGAAAGAACGAAGCCACTGATAGCAGACGTTTGATGCCCTTAAAGAGGTGAAATACTTGTTTTACCTGGACCGACTGTCTTTGCCTGTCCATGTGGCTCGCATTAAAGCAGTTCCTTTTGTTTACATTTATCGCACAGTGCTGATAATAGTTGACATTATCAGCACTACTGGAGCTTTTTGTTAGTACATATTTCAGCAACTCTAGCAACCAAAAGAAGTGCGTTTTCACTGTCTTTTTGATTGTTTGATCAACATTTCTCACAGACTGCCACTTTTATCTTAATTTGTATTATAGGCCTGGTTGACCAGCTCTGTCCATTTGTAATAATCCCGTCAGCTATATTTTGATTTTCATATTTGGTTATATCCTGACTCAAGAGAGATTTACTGTATGTGAGAAACAAGAGGAACTGGTTCCAAAATGACAAGCAACAAATACAACTGTAATTAATCTGTCAACAAACAGTAGCGGTATATTTGTGTAACACCGCAAATATACAAAACCGTGTGCGAGACAACAATCAATGATGACAAAGCTAGAGAGAGAAAAGGTCAAGTACCAGCACCCTGGTCTGTGACATTTTCTACCAAACAATGAACAGCAAACTCTTGAAATTTGAACAGCTATCCAGCGGTTAAGTAATGTATGTGATGCTCGAAATAGAAATACAACATAGTCACAATGGGAAGTGATATAAATGAGTGAGCTATCCCCTGAGATTACAAAAAAAAGAACTCACCACTCTTTTAACATGCTACCTCAAGCAAACAGCTTTGTCACTGCCGGCTTTATACTGGCAAAGAAATAACCAAATTCAAGAGCATAAGGGTCGGAGCCAAAGCACACTGGACTTATTTCAGTGATCTGTTATTTGTGTTTGAGATTAAAAATTAAGAAAAAAAGGTTGTTTTCTAAAAATAATTGCAAGTAAAAACACCATTTAACAATATCCAATTCACTTCGCTGCTTATTTGAAGCTATTGTTGGCACCACAGGAGATGCTGTGAACCTTTGTGTCCTGTAGGTTCTAGTGGTGAAAAAAGTAGAACATTACATACACAAGTATTTTAGGAGTCATTTTCATACTAGCTTGTGTTTCTGACTATTTGGATGGAGTCTCAAGCTGAATGATGTTTACTATCCCGTAAATAAGGTACTGGTACTGACAAGGTGCAGTCAGCACCAAAGCTGTAAGGTTTTAATTATTTATTCCTGGCTGACGTATTTACAAAAGGGTGCAGTAGGATGTTTTGCTCTGCCCTTATTAAAAGGAAATGTAAAAGCTATGCAGGCCTGACTTGGTAGGCAATATGTTTTTGCTAAGAGGCACCAAAAGGCATGGAGCTTTAATCTGTTCAAATTACAGAACAACTTTTACTTTAATAATAATCGGTAAATTTCAAAATTTACCATAAAAAATTTACTTTATATGTATACTTATACATTTTACCAAAAAATACAAAAGTACTAGTGTCTTTTTTTAGCAGTTACATATATTTTGGGAAACGTGCAAAAACTGAAGTGATTTTACATAAACAAGTCAAAAAGCTCTTCACATGTGTGTGTGCAATATTTAATTCCTACTCAAACTTGTCTGTTCTCCAAGTATAAACATGTTTTCTTCCTATTCTAAATTCTTAATGTCTGACTCATGCAAGCTGCAATGTGATGAACAAATCATGACAGCCAGAACAGACTCCAACAGAGAAAATCCAGTTTATTGAAACTCGTTTGAAAGGGGGAAAGGCTGAAAACAATTTAACAACTTCTCTAATTTTAGGGTTAGGGTTGTGCCTCTGTTTTGTACCGTCCATGCTATCTGACCGGAGGCATTTTGTTTTCGTGTTGTCCATCTGTCGGGCCTCCCCAGAGGGACTCTAAACAGTGAGGAGGTTCAGAACTTTTAAAAAATGACACTAGTTATCAAAAGGTGACCACATATTATATCCTAAATGTTTGTGATTTGGTTAAGGAGAGTTCAGAGATACAGTAGTTTTGGGGGGAATTTACTGTTTTTCCCACTTTCCCATAGTCAGAAACAATAAACGCCTTAGGACAGACCTTTTTTATGTATTTGGTGTAGTCTGAAGTTATTTCAAACAGCAATATTAGGTGGCTCTTGGCTCAGTTGTTCAGTGTCTATGTGATCATATAACATAATCATGATACATTCAGGAATTAAGCAAAACTAAAGGCGTAAACTTGGGCAGTGGAGGGGGCACGTTTTTTCTGAGTTTGTCTGATGGGAGGCCCACAGTCTTAGACTTTGAAAACCCCTGGACCAGGACGACAAAATGAGTGAACAATATCTAGCACAGTAAAGGCTTTCCTCCATCTCGTTCATTCTGCCTTTCACTTCCTACCTCATTCTGAATTTTGAGTGCCATCAGATTTTCATGACTGCATTAAACAACCTAATGGAGCTCAACTAGCTAATAGATTTTGCATCTAAAAATGCAAAGCACCACATTTAGTGCAGCTATACTCTACAAGAATCCATCTTTATGCAGTAATGAAGTACATGTGTACCTGTTTAGCCAATACACCTATGGTAATCCTTCATTAATCAGTTCCACAATGTATACATGCTGACACGTGTTTAGATCCATCTGTTTCTCATTGCTGCATCATTTTAGCTGCCTTAAATGCTGCCTATAAATTAGTACAATAGTACAGGTATTCTGTAATTGTCACAGAGGTATTGAACCACTGCACATGGAATCTAGCTGAATGTAACACTGAGCAGTCTTAACCTGGCTTCTCCACCAAACTGCTCAGCCAAGTATCTTTTCATCCACACATGCTGAAACAGAACTTTCCGACAACATCTGGCACCAAGATGCAAGGAAGCTACAACAATCTATTAAATCAGAACATATCCAGCTCTTTTTTTGGCCATGTCTGCTAGAGAAACAATTACAGCAGCTCCTTTACCAGTTTGATTTAATAAAATGGTCCTCTCAATGTTTTCATTGTTGGATTGTTGTTCATCCTAGAAGCACCGTGGACAGTTAAACCTGTATTCAGAGCTGCCTACCTTCAGTCACATCACCCAAGATGCATTTCAAATGCTAAATGTGAACGGGGCCAACATGTTTTGTGGGTGGCTTTATACCTTTATGTATATTACAAGCTCTCATAGGCTCTGAGGTTTCTTCTCACAGACTTGCAGACTTTGATGTGCAAGTCTACACAGGGCTAGTGTCCTTTAAAAGCAGCAGGTGCTTGAGGGCTTTCTGGTAGAAAAAAATCCTTTTATACACACTTATGAAGTAATAAACCATAACTCATGAAGAACAGGAATGAAGGATGGCAAGAAGAGGTAAAAACAACTCTCACCAGCATGTACTTTTGTGTAGTTTGTTCTTACAAGACAGGTTTTCATCTGATACATTATTGTTTTGTTTATAAAATAGAAATGAACAACCCCCTATGTCACTTTATTGGCCGTTGGGTAAGGTATAGAAAAGTCACATTTCATGCACTCCCTCATTATCACTTGACGTCTGTTAGAAACTGTGATTCCTCAATGTTCAGGGTGGAATTTGAAATATCTCTTTAGTGATACTCCTGTGCCCTGCGATGGACTGGCGACCTGTCCAGGTTGTACCCCGCCTTGCGCCCGATGTCAGCTGGGATTGGCTCCAGCCCCCCCGCGACCCTGTACGCAGGATAAGCGTGTTTCGATGGATGGATGGATACTCCTGTGTTTTCCCCTTCCTCTAGCTTGGTCCGTAGACGTAGGGCACGTGGGAAAGTTTAGCAGGTGTTTGACCGGGGCTCCTCACCGCGTCACGCAGCATCTGCGCTCTGATTGGCCCGCCCTTGTGCAACTGTGCAGTTGTATAAACTCTGCAGTTTGAAGGAGTTGGCAGAGTGTCCTGCAGGGATCGCGTCGGTCTCAGTGGGGGGAAACTCTGCCGAGCGAGGACGGGAGGAAACGGCGTCACCGTTGTTGTTTTTTTTTGCAGACTTGTCTTGCAGAGAGATTTAGAGATGCAGAGCTGCGCCAAGTCCTGGGGGATCTTCTTGGCCAAGTCGGTGAGCCCCGGCGCACCGTGCAGGCATCTGAGGGACAAGAGCCGCGTGGCTTGGAAACTTCAGTGCAGGATCCTAAACAGCGGGGCATCTGTAGCAACTGCAGCCCGCGGTCTGAGGACGTCTGCAGTCGTCTCCTCCAGACAGATAGAGAGACTATTACCCAGACATGATGATTTCGCGGAGAGGCACATTGGTCCAGGTGAGAGGGAGAAGAGAGAAATGCTCGATGCTCTGGGACTCGAGGTAAGATTTACTACTCACCCCCTCCCCAAAAAAGAAAAGAAAATTGGGCGCAAAAGCATGCTTTGTTAAACCTAATTTCAGCAGGGACACATTTGCTTTCAGCAGTATAGGCTATTGATATTATGTGCTGTTTACAGCCATGTTTTGCGCGCTTTTCGTTATTAAAATGCCCTTTTCTCCCCCACAGTCGATCGACCAGTTGATCGAAAACACAGTCCCAGGCTCCATCCGCATTCAGCGGAGTATGAAAATGGATGACCCAGTCTGTAAGTTTACCTCAATGTATTTGTTATTGATAACATTTGTGTGACATACATCTTAATGCCAAACGTTATAGCCTGCGCGATCAACCTCGGCGCAGCAGTGCCAAACCGGATTTAAAATAGTACATCTCATGAAAATGCATGTTAAACATGACGGGGTATTTATCCCACTCGTCTCCTGCTCTCTTGCCGTGAAACGGGCGTTAAATGAAGCCAAGTGAGTGGTTGAAATGTAGGTTGGACCTCTATTGTGTGCCGTGGAGCGCTCTCCCCTGGTAAGTCTTCCTTTGAACATATTTGGAGTTGTTTTTGCGAAACCCGGCGAGCGGCACCAATCTCCTGTTGGGAAGCCGATGCTCATAGGATGGCAACTGGAGTGTAAAGTTTAGCCTTGAGCTCCCGTCCCAAGTCCAGTTCAATCTGGTTACAGCGTTCACATTACATCACAGCCGAGGGGCTTCCTAATAAGGTGACTTCTCTATGTTTTGCATGGGGTTTGGCTCTTTTTTCCCCCATTCTGTAATATGCGCGCATTACAATACCAGATTCCCGTTAAACGAGTTGGTTTTGGCTTATTTCCTAAGGGAAAAAAATACAGGATAGAGAGTAATGAGGTATCAGAGGGGATTTCTAGCAAAGAATGGAAGAGATAAGATAAATTTTTAATTAGTTGTAGTGACAAATGCAAATAGATTCCTGCTTGGAGTGAGGCTTATGCCAATTTGTTGAACTGGGGCTGTTGTTATGCTGTCATGGTTTTGAGTGTGCGGATGTGCAAAATTAAAAGACTACAGCAGGGTTAAACTCAACATAT